AATAAAGTAATATTGAGTGAAAACCCAAACTGTAAAATACATATCCATCAATCCACTTATTAATATAAATAAAGGATTGAATACATCGGTCAATGGGAAATAAGAGTCGAATCTCCCGTGTGGAAGAATTCCAGATACTTTATGTAGGTTTCCTGCCCTCAGAGAGGGGAAGCACAACTCCCCACCCTTTCAGTGTGAGCTATGTGAGCTACGCAAAGCGACTGCCTTCCAAAGAGTGCAGTACGGAAAGGGGGACAAAAGAGTAAGGAACAGGTTGCAGTGGTGACACTTGGCAAACACTACCTCAAGCAGGCAATCAAGGCCAACATCAACAGTCATAAACCATGTTTGGTGCTGTGTAACTTTGATAGGATGTGATGAAAATGGCACTTTGCCTATGTGGTCTTCCTCTCAATAACCCATCACTCCAGTCTTATCTTGAGAAAAACATCCTATAAATTCTATTAGGTAAAGCATGTCTGATGAGTACTCCTCGAAAACTGTCACAGTCATCACAGACAAGGAAAATCTGAGAAACAGTTACAGCCAAGAGGAGCCTAAAGAGACACACCAGCTACATGCACTATGATTTGGTACCCTGGGTGGGATCCTGGGACAGAAGAAGGCCATCAGGTAAAAGCTATGGACATCTAAATAAACTATGGATGTTAGTTAATAACGCATCAATATCAGTTCCTCAGTAGTAACAAATGTATCGTACTAATGTAAGACGTTAATAATGGGGGGAACTGGATTAGGGGTGTATGGTAAATATCTATAACCATCTTCTAAATTTTTCTGCATGTCTAAAACTGTTCTAAAAATTCCATTCTATTTTCTGAAAAGCACACATGATTTTTTTTTTCTTTGAAGAAATATTGGACACCAGGGATAATTCACAGTTTGGGGAACCAACAGGCTGGAGCGCAGGCGAGATTCCCGTGCACGCATCCTCATGCCATCTGCAGGGAAAGCCCCGCAGATGGGACTAAACCAAGGTGTCTCAGGAAGAAAATATATAAAGCATTGGCCTGTCTTTGAAGATGCAAATATATCAGTCTGTTATCTTCAAAAGCTTGCTGTGGTTTTAGAGCAGCCCTTGCAATCCTGCCTGTCTTCACCTTAGCGTGAACCTGTGGCATTATCTGAGCCTGGATGGAGCTCAGAGAAATGTCCCCACTCCAGTGAAACTGGTGACTCTCTCACAAGTAGGAGGTCGATACCCCTGAAAGAGCTTCCAGGGCACTTAAGGGGTCACCAAAAAGAAAGGTGCTTATTAATTGATTAGAATGAGCCGTATACATCCACGAGCCTTCGTTATGTGTTGAAGATGCTGTTTTCCGTCCTATGAGCTGAGGGTCCTCAGGGTGGACTGTCTCGACTTCTCACTATGTAGCGTTTGGGGGCAAAAGTGTTGTTACATAATGCGCTTCCGAAGTCAGAGTTAACTAGTCACAAAAAACATCCCAATTATGTGCCCCCAAAGGAATATGATATTAATGTTAAATATGGCCACAGGCCAGTCTGGAAGGAAAACTGAAAATTACATACCACTTTTTTTTTTTTCTTTTTAAAGATCACTTCTTGAACAGAAAGTGGTAATAATAATATTACACACCTACACAGTCCTTTATATTCAAGAAACCTCAAAGTACCTCACCAATTATTCTTCATATCCACAGGGCTCACACTGCTTGGGAAAGAATGTCACTAGTGATAAAAACCCGGTCTCCAACAGGCGGCCTTTTCAAAGCCAAGTTAAATGGAGCGGAGTGGGAGGGGAGGCGGCCTTCAGCTCCCCACCGCGGCTTCCGCCCGGGGCTACCGCAGCCTCCACTCCTCCTTTATCCCCTTCCCACCTGTGCGTGCGGCTTGGGGACCGGAGAGAAATAATGAGTGGCCGTGGCGAGCAGCAGGGACAGCAGGAAATGAGAAGCACATCTAGAAATATCATGGCTCTAAGCAGATTTTTAAAACACATGGTAACTCTTCAAGACACAGGGCTGGGAGAGGGTGAGAACCGGGTGTGCTGGCAGAGGATCTCGCTGTGAATCCGGGTCTGGTATTTGCTGTTGCTGTCTGTGTCGCTTTAGGAACCTCTCTGTCTGTCTGTCTGTCTGTCTGTCTGTCTGTCTGTCTGTCTGTCTGTCTTTCTGCAGTTTCTCAAATGTCCGATCCCTAATACCTGCCTCGTGCTTATGAAAGTACCCAGGGCAGTGCCTGGAACCCTCGGTGAAGGTTTGAGGAATCTGCACCTTGTGGAGGCTTGGATCCAGGGCCGCTGGGCTCTCCCAAAGGAGCCAGGAGTTTGCGAAAATGCAGCTCCTTTTGTGAGGAAGCATGAGTCCCCCTGGCCCATCCCACCTGGACTCCCATTCCGGGTTGCAGGACATCGGGGACCCTGCCACGTTGCTCCCTGCCTCCTCTGGAGCTGCATCTGCCTTCACATGTCTTGCCCTGCAGCCGCACTGAGCTGTTTTAGTTCCCCCAACTCTTAGGTCTGGAATCCACCACTCCTTCTGCTGCTGAACGCTCTGCTCCCCGCCTTATCAACTGCTATCGTGCACTCTAAAAAAAGTCACCTTAAAAATCACCTCTTTGTATGACGGGCTTAAGCTTAATCCAGGATTGAGTAATATTACTTAATATTACTCAATATTACTCAATCCTGTCATTTCTTAGGATTGAGTAATATTCCATTGTGAGCATATACCACATTTTAGTTATCCACTCATGAACTGACGGGCACTTGGGTAGTTTCCATGACTGATCTGGGAAAGGGGCTACACATCTACTCACCATCAAATTGACTAAAACTACGGTGCTCAAAAAATGGTAGTGTTCAATAGAAATTTGAGGGGGGCAGACCCACATCTTAAGGAAGTGGCGAGCATTGTGGGGGAAAGGAATTACCTCTATCCCTTTTTAGGGAGAGGTAAAGATATACATTGTAACCAAAATGTCTGAAAAAAAATCTGTAATCGGGAAGTGGGCAGGTGGGGGGGAGGGGAAGGGCATGTACTCACACGGTGGGTTCGGTGTGCACCACCTGGAGGCTGGACACCCTAGAAGCTCTGGCACAGCAGGGTGGGGGAGGGGGGCAGGGGCAAGATATGTAACCCTAACAATATTTGTATTCCCATAATATGAAGGAATAATAATAATAATAAAAAATCACCTCTTTGCTAATCCCCAGCCTGGGATTAGGCACTCGGACAGTGCTCTGAATGTGTTCTGCTATGGAACAGCACGTGCTGGGCTACAAGCCGTTGGTTTCTTTGCCTGCCCTGCTAGCCATGAGGGCTGTGTGGCCGGGGCCTCAGCACAGTGTCCGGCACAGGGTAGCCACTCAGTGGCTGTTTACTGTTTAATGAATCGATCTGTTCCCCAGCCTTCTTAATGGAGGCAGCTCACCATTAGTGATCATGACAGGATCAGATCTTTTTGTAATTCAGAGACAAACTGATGGACGTCACTGTTTGGTGCGCAGGAATGGTGTATGCCTATTAGAGTGGATTCTAAAGCAACCGCTGCTGGTAGAGGCATTAGCTGTGGACACTTACAGAAATAGAGCTAGTGTGGGCTGGAAAGAAACATAGAAACCATTAGTTCAATGCCCTCCTTTTGCAGATGAGTAAACTGAGGTGCAGAGTTTAAATATCTTGGCAATGATCATTCACAGTCCACTGTGATTTTTCTGGCTCAGAACCCAGTGCTCTTTCTACTCTCCTGCACTTTGTGATAGAAACAGATACACACACACACACACACACACACACACACACACTCTCAATAAATAGTTGCTGAGCACCACTGTGAGTGCAGCAGAAAGCATGGCTTTCCGGACACTCAAAGTCATAGGCCTTGGCCTGAAAGTGTTCACTGTCTCGTTGGTGAGGCAAGGCATGCACACATCTACATAAAAGCAATGCGGTGATCCGAGAGCAGGCACGCAGGGTCAGGAGGCCTGGGGTGGCGCAGCCAGGAGTCTGAGAGAGGGAGCGCAAAGAGAATGAAGAAGTGGAGCAGGAAGAGACGGGACCATGACCTCCCAGGACAGTGGGGCTGAGAACAGCAATGGTGCACTGCAGTGATGGTGCAGAAGAGAGGCCCATTCCAGGCGGAATACGAGCAGGGCAGGCGGGGAGGAGGGGTTGGGACAAGGTGTGGCTTTATCCTGTGCTTTTACTGTAAACTGCTTCATGCAGCATTCTGGAAAATGGTGGAGTGTCTAGATGCATTGAGAGAGATAGAGTGAATTAGAGATGGAAATGGAGAAGGACATCGAGGAAGGGATGCGGGTAGCAATGGAGAATAAGCGAAAGAGAGAGGTAGAAATGGGAACAGGGATAGAGGTGATTCCACCACAGTTCAACTACCAGGAAATATTCCCCAAGTGCATGAGGAAAAGGAGCTTAGAACTGTGTAAGTCTCTGCTGTGTCCTATATGAGAGGTGCCTTTTTCTATGGTCACCCCACTTGTATTGACACGAAGACAGGAGTTCAAGATGGATACACCACACCCAGTTAGTGCAAAGGTGCATTCTAATCGCTGTGAATGGAATTGCCTCTCTCCACTATACAAAGCATCCAGGGCCTACATTTCCGCTGCTTTGGAAGATCTGTTTGACAGACAGAGGAAAATGGGTCTGGTTGCACAGTGTAGTCTCTCAGTGTCTGCAGGAAAGCTCCCGATGCAGGTTTGAAGGAGGAAAGGGTGAGGCTCAGCTATAGTCTTTCCAATATCTAACCCAGCTGCAGTGTGTGACATGATAGAGCAGGTCTTCTCAAGCTTTTATGTACGTGCTGATCACCTGGGGGAGTTTATGAAAATGCAGGTTCTGACTCAGTTGGTCTAGTTTGGGGCCTGAGGTTCTGCATTCATTACAAACTTCCAAGGGGTGTTGACACTAGTCTTAAGCAAGGTCTTAAAGCATGTCTTTTTTTTTTTAATTGACACATAATAATTGCACATACTTATGGGGTACAGAAGGATATTTTAATACATGATCAAATGAGGGCAATTAGCATATCTATCACCTCGAACATTTATCACTTCTTTGTTGTAGGAACACTCAAAATACTCTCTTCTAGCTATTTGAAAATATAAAGTAAATTATTGTTAACTATAGTCATCCTATAGTGCTGTAGAACACTAGAACTCATTCCTGCTATTCAGCTGTAATTTTGTATGCCTTAACCAAGTCCTCCCCATCTCCCTTCCTGCCTACCCTTCCCAGGCTCTAGTAACTGCAGTTCTACTCTCTACTTCTTATGAATTCGAATTTTTTAGCTTCCACATATGAGTGAGAACAACCAACTAATCCCCCCCTTGTCTAGACTAGTGAACTCATCCCTGGGTACACTTGGGAAACTTTTAAAAGCCATTTATGCCAGGTCTCACCCCAGTGTTTCTGTTTTATTTGCTGTGAAGTGGTAAAAAAAAAAAATCAAAGTGTTTGCACCATTCTTTATTCTCCTGCTTAATATTTCCTTCTTTAAACATCATATACTTTAAAAATAAAATTCATCAGTTGCTGGCGTCTTGTAGGCTGCAATGCATGGTTGATAAATGAGTGAAAAATGGCACGACAGATGTTAAGTGCATACACAATTATGCAGTTGGCATTAAAAGTCATTGTGTCATGGATAATGCCATATTCATTTGAGTTAAATTGTTTAATTATGATAAAATCAGATTGCCTCAACTATATATTTTGAAGGAATTAATTCCAGCTTTCTGCTCACTTGCAGTAAGGAAGGTCCTGTGGTTTGAATGCGCCCCCTCAAAATTTAGGTGTTGCCAATGTGGTTGTATTCAGAGGTGGGGTCTTGAAGAGGTGGTTAGGCCATGGGGGCAGCACCCTCATGAATGGGACTGGGTGCCCCTCTAAAAGGGCTTGTTGGTGGGAATAGCTTGCTTTCCTGCTCTTCTGCCCTCTGCCACGTGAGGACACAGCAAGAAGGCCCTCACCGTACACCAAATGCCGGCACCTTGATCTTGGACTTCCCAGCCTCCAGAACTGGGAAAATAAATTTCTGTTATTTACAAATTATCAAGACCCAGGTATTCTTCTATAGCAGCACCAAACAGATTGAGACAGAGGGCTTTTCTACATCAAAGAATTTAGACTGTCAAGTCTTGGAGAGAAGTGGAGTGGATTGTTGGGCTTCTCCTGTTCTCACTAACTATAGGTATTTCTTTTGGAGGCCTGAGTTAGTCTCAGAGGACCAAATGAAGCTTAGGAACATTAGGATGGGGGCTAAAATTAGCATATTGTATTTTTAGCATATTTTTTCAGGGACGCAGCATGCTGATCTGTGTACCTCTAAAAGGGCAAACACATCTGTTTCCAAGACAACAAAAGAACATCCTCTCTGGTGAAGACGTTGATATCAGCCCATCCTCAGTGAAGTGAGCATGCGGGTGCCAGGGCTCTAGCTGAGAGTTGGCTGGGCTCCAAATCTGTTTCATTGCTGGCAACTTTGATGATCCTAAGAGAGAGAGATGAAACTTGAACTAATGATATGATGCTTTAGCCCCTTGTTGGAAACATCTTTAAGAAAACGGTCAAGTTGTGGAAAATGAGCATCTTTCCTCTTCTTCTTCTTCTTCCTCCTCCCCTTCTGGTTTGTTTTGCTATTGCTGTTGTCACCACTGTAACGACTGCCAACTCAAGGGATCGCTTCTCCTTCTCTGAAGGCACCGGAGTGGGCATGGGCTACCATGTGTATTTTATAAAACATTTAGGAAACAGTAAAACCTTCCACAATTGTTCCTTGTCCAGCCCACTCCCTGGCCTGTCTCCTAGTCTTCTCTTTATAGAGACTAACTTACTTGGGGATTAGCTCCAAGGTGCTGGCAGAATGGGTGTGGGATGTTCTTTTGGATGGGAAAAAATAACCCCAAAAACAAAGTGGTTTTTTTTTTCTTATCCTAACACCACTCAACACAACACCAATGTGTGGGCTTTTTCCCCCACACACCAAGCCATTCCCCAGTGGACACCAGCTGAGTGTTCTATGATTCAGTTCGGTTCTGGCCTTCTCTGTCTGGAGATAGCATCAGACCCCACAGGGTAAGGGCTCAGTCTCACAACACTGTCCCCCCCTTCAGATGCCAGTCACAAGGTCCATGTTGTGTGTGTCCTGTGCTTCTGGCTGGCTATAAATTGAGGTTCTCTCAATGCCCTCTTCAGGTTCCATTAATTCACTAGAGCAGATCACAGAACTCAGGGGGAAACACTTTGTTATGTTTACCATTTTATTATGAAGAATATTACAAAGGATACAGATGAACAGCCAGGTGATACACGGGCCAAGGTATGTGGGATGCGGTACAGAGCTTCCATGCCCTCTCAGGGGGTGCCACCCTCCAGGAACCCCCATGTGTTCATCTGCCTGGAAGCTCTCTGAACCCAGTCCTTCTGGGTTTTACGGTGGCTTCATTATGTAGGCATGACTGATGACCTCCTTGGCATGGTGATCAACTCCACCTTCAGCCCCTCTCCCCTGCCCTCTAATCATGCCTCAGTCTTTCACGTGACCAGTCCCCATCCTGAAGCTGTCTAGGGTCCCCCAGCCACCAGTATTCTCATTAGCATACAGAACACTCTCTATTACTCTGGAGATTCCAAGGGTTTTAGGAGCTGTATGTCAGGAAAAGGACTGAGTATATATATTTCACAATATCACAGATGTGTGTCATGCTGTCTGAAGAAGGATGTTTGAGGTAGTCATAAGTGCCTACCTGGACATGGGAAGTGGCTGAACACATGGAGAAATATCTCCATTTTTAAATAATAAAAAAGACACATCTGAAGAAGGAAACCTTAGTGGAATCATTTTGTGGGGGAGCAGAGAAAAATCTCCTGATTTTCAGGACCTTTAGAGTGGAAAGAAGAAAATCAAACTGCCGCAGCTAAGTTGGAAATGTTCTGTGGACGGTGTGATTCTGAATCACAGTCCTTCTCTCTAAGCCCGAGGCTGGGTACAGATGAGCTGCATTCGTACTTGGGACCATGCATTCGCTTTCTTTAGACGTGATGTCAAAAGCGGCCAGGGAGTTCAACTTCAGGGAAAAAAGTGAAAGGAAATGACTGCTTGTGTGCATAGGACTGGATTTACGTATCCACTAGGCAAATGTGTCCCCTCTGGCAAAATATGTCACTAGCTGAAAAATGTATCACTATCTACCATCTTCTCTGAGAGAAGGCTGTGGTAAACAAATTTCATGAAAGAACAAGATTTTCAGAGACTAAAAAAGGTTGGCATTTAAGTTTCATCCAGACTGCAGCTGTGACCAAAAATAATCAAGCAGAACTGTGGTTAATTGTGCAGCAACCTACACCCTCCATATTCTGCTAAATCTCCAGGTAACAGGGTTTTTTCTTTTCCCCCTTTCTTATCCCTGCTGATTCAATGACAGGTACAATTTTAGCTTAGTATGAGTTTCCCAAAGTCAAGACAAAGCAACATAGTTTGGCCATGTAGTCTAAACGTTGTAATTAGAATTTTCCTATGAGAGCAATATTTTGGATATAAAGTGTACTTTACAATGTAGTAGGCTTTAACTACCAAGATATATACCTTTCTAAGTAGGTCCTATTAAAACAATTTAATAGTATGTCAACAAGTACCAATGTGTACATAAAAATAGAATTATGTGGTTTGTTTTCACACAGTGAGCTAGTTTTGCCTTTTGCCGGGGTCTGACAAGTGCTATTGAAGCTCACCAATAGGATTACATGATTGGAATTGTATTCATGGAAGGTCGTTATTCTTAGTGCTGACAGATGAAAAGCCTCCTAAATTATGGGGATACACTCAAGAAGTATCGAGTGTTTTTGTGCATGTGCAAATGGATAGGTTCACATACATTTCCATACTTAACAGAGACGTGTTGATATTTTAATGACAACGCACATACTTAAAAAAAAAAAAGAGGAGAAAATAGAAACATGTTCTTTCTTAAATCAGCCTGGTTAATTGCAGATGAAACTAAATTCATATATTTTTTAATCTTTAAAGTTCTACTGAATGGTGTTTTCCTAGATCAGAATTCACAGTGAGCACGCCCACTTCAACTGTGGGCCAAGGAAATTGGTACCGACAGCCTTCTTGGAGGGAAATTATGCAGTGGATCCAAATAGCCTGAAATATTCTACAGATTGTAAGATGGTGATGGCTTGTTCTATCTATTTGCTCGGAAGCAAAGCTCTGGAACACTCCCTAACAGGGAAGTATAGCCTTAGCATCCCATCTCAAAGCAGGGACAGAGGACAGTGGCCGAATCATTGCTTTCCACACACTCCTATCTTCTGGACCATTTGGGGAATATAAAACCCAACAGAACAGCAAAAGAAGTATGTAAACTTACTTGATGATATAAATCATGCAATATTCACACTTAATACAAACCCACCTATATATTTATGTATTAATAGATATTGTGTATTTTTTTTTTTTTTTTTGAGACAGAGTCTCACTTTGTTGTCCAGGCTAGAGTGAGTGCCGTGGTGTCAGCCTAGCTCACAGCAACCTCAAACTCCTGGGCTCAAGCAATCCTTCTGCCTCAGCCTCCCGAGCAGCTGGGACTACAGGCATGCGCCACCATGCCCGGCTAATTTTTTACATATATATATCAGTTGGCCAATTAATTTCTTTCTATTTATAGTAGAGACGGGGTCTCGCTCTTGCTCAGGCTGGTTTTGAACTCCTGACCTTGAGCAATCCGCCCGCCTCGGCCTCCCAAGAGCTAGGATTACAGGCGTGAGCCACAGCGCCCGGCCAGATATTGTGTATTTTTATGTGCCTATTTTATCATGTCAATATAATATTGATGATATAATATATATACAGCAGATCCTCAAACAATGTCATTTCGTCACAGCATTGGTAAGAAAAAAAATAATCTTGGCCAGGGATTCATGTGGAGTTTGCGTGTTCTCCCCACGTCTGTTTGGGTTTCCTGCTGGTGCTCTGGTTTCTTCCCACAACCCAGAGACGTGGGCGTTGGTGAGCTGGTGTGTCTAAGCTGTCCCAGTCTGAGTGAGTATAGGTGTGGGTGTGAGTACAGCCGTGACAGAAAAGCATCCAGCCCAGGGCTCGTCCCCACCGCGCTCCCTGAGCTGCCAGGATAGGCTCTGGCCACCTGAGATCCTGAACTGGAATGAGTGAGTTAGAAAATGAATGAATGCATATAACTGATTATAAAATAAAAATGTGTAACGTAGGTGATAATCACACAAAAGCAAGATAATAAATGATGCAGTAGAAAAGCCCCCAGGGAGCTACCCTATTTGTGATCATTTTTTTGAACTGCAAGTTGCAAGATGCTTGTTACAACTTTTGCTTTGCAAGTATTTATTCCTTGATTTAACCTACCACCACGATGACTGCCATCACTCACTGATTCCCCCAAAATTGCATCAATAATGTTTTTTAAGTCAATGTTTTTAATGTTTTCATTCATTTTTAATAATCTTTTACTTAAGCATATGTATAGCTCACATGTATTTTCATGTTTCATATTAGAAATGTTTTGGGTCTTTATTTAGCAGTTTGGTGACGTTTTTGTGACCAGAAGTATACCATAAAAACTTTACTCTTGTTTATAACAATGTGCCTATGGTAAAATTGGTTTTGCTATACATCATTTTGCTTAAAGTCACAGTTTCCAAGAACCTATCGTTGATAGTAAATGAGGTCTAACTGTATATGTAATGCATCCATATGCGTATTTATGTGTGAATACATATGCATATCTGTGAATAAATGCGTGTGTATACTTTCAATGAGCCTATTTTGGCATATAATATTGAAGTCATGACCATGAGGAATCTACTTAATAGAATAAAATGGTCAGTTCTTTAGCTCTGTGTGGTTGTTCTAATGGTACAAGAAAGAGAAAAGCTATGGAAAGGTTTAGGTATAAAGAATTGGGTACAAGGCTTTATGTGTCACTTAAACAGAATTATTGAGCCAGATAGACAGATGGAAGAGATACATCTCAGAGACATATCTGTGAGGCAAAATGTACTAAAAATAAATGCCTGACACAGATGTCACTGAGTCATTCAAAGCTGAACTACACAAGCCATTGGGGCATTATCAGCTAACAGGAGAACAGCTCTCCAACACCAATCACGGTGGCCTGCACAGGAAGGGGCTTCCTTCAGAGACCTTAAAAAAAAAGGAAAAGTAAAAAGAAAGCACTAGCTAAAGATCATCAAAAGAAAGGGCTACATAGCTGAGTGCAGTGGTGCATGCCTATAGTCCCAGCCATGGGAGGCTGAGGCAGGAGGATCACCGGAGCCCAGAATTCGAGGCTGCAGTGCTCTGTGATCATACCTGTGAATAGCCACTGCACTCCAGCCTGTGATACCCTGTCTGTAAAAGAAAGAAAGAAAGGGCTACAAGTCTTGTGCAGATGCCTGCAGGATCAACAGATGGCGGTTCACTTTCATAGTACAAGTCAAATGCCTACAACAAGTCACAGATATTGCTACAAAATAGCTCCTGGAGGCAGTTTCTATAATGAAAGAATGAGCTAACATTATACTTTTGTTTTTTTGGGGTTTTTTTGAGACAGAGTCTCGCTCTGTTGCCTGGGCTAAAGTGTAGAGGCGTCAGCCTAGCTCACAGCAACCTCAAACTCCTGGGCTCAAGCGATCCTCCTGCCTCAGCCTCCCGAGTAGCTGGGACTACAGGCATGCGCCACCATGCCCGGCTAATTTTTTTCTATATATATTTAGTTGTCCAGCTAATTTCTTTCTATTTTTAGTAGAGACAGGGGTCTCGCTCTTGCTCAGGCTGGTCTCGAACTCTTGAGCTCAAACGATCTTCCCACTTTGACCTCCCAGAGTGCTAGTATTACAGGTGTGAGCCACTGCGCCTAGCCTAAACAGTGTACTCTTAAAACTTCTTCCCTACCAACTTAGAGTCTTGGCTGAAGAAATCTAATGTGAAAAAGTATAGGCTACATTGAAAGTATTTCTTGTGCATGTAGCTGCTTACCATCCAGAAGTAATACGAGTTTGGAAGCTAGATTATTGGCCCCAAGTGCCCTCCCCTCAACCACCACCACCACAGATAACGTTTACTAAGCACCGGGACATGCCAGTAATGTGCTGAGTGTGTACAGGTATCACCACACCTTATCCTCCCAGCATTCCTGAGCAGGCTCATGTGTTGGGTTAACTGACTTGTGCATGGTTACATTGCTAGTTAAGTGCAGAATTCAGAGGTAGACCCAGGTTCGTCTTTCTCTAGAGACCTAGCCCATCAGAGCTGAACTGCACTATCTCATCCAACAAGTCCATATACTGATGTCGGGCACTGGGACACAGCCCGATTGCCGCCTCCCCATAGTTCTGCATCTCCGGGGGCCAGTGCTGCACATAGCCAGTTAGAGGCACGCTGCTGGGGCTAGGCCCACAGCCACCCAGGACCCCCGTGTGCCACCGGGACCCCCGCATGCTGGAATGCCCCAAGGCCCACGTGCAGCTGCCTGTTTCTGGCCACACTGTTTGCGTGATCCTGATTGGGTAATTTTTGAATCCCACTATTTTTGATTGGATGTTAAAGCTTGTTGTTGATTGGATGTTAAAGCCTGTTGCTGATTGAATGTTAAAGCCTGTTGCTGATTGGATGTTAAAGCTCGTAGTTGATTGGATGCTTCTTGAGCCCTACCAAGGGTATAAAAGCAGGGGCAGAAGGTCAGGAAGGGGAGAACATCGGAAGACGTGAAGAGAGATGTAACACTAGGTGTGCTGAGCCTACTGTAGAAGAATAAAGGCTGTTCTCTGACTCTTTGTGTGCCGCTCAGTTCTTTCCCCGGTCAAACGAATAATAACGCTAGCTGTGCACACTGCCGCCACAATACCAGGCCATAGATGAAGATGTCAATATCACCTGGGAGACGCTGATGATGCAAAGAACACAGCAACGTCTCTGCCCAATAAACCACTACACCTATGTATGAACTCACTCACACGTGAGTGACTTTTGCTTCATTCAAATATGAAGATATGCTGCCTGGCATATAAGAGATACTCATTATAAATACTAGTATTATGTATATCAAAAACCTTGAGGCGCAGCTGAACCCAAGCTCAGTAATTAATTGCCGATTTCCCTGTCAATAGATCAAGGTACCATGACTTTATAGAGTGGTTTGCAGCACAGGAAGCTTTCATTTCAAACCTCTCAGATTTATTAACTCACTTGAGCTTCACAACAACATTGTGACATAGGAGGAATGGTTATTTTAATTCCCATGTACAGATTAGGAAAATCAGGCTCAAAAGGATTAAATAATTCGTCAAACTCACAACACTAGCACCACACTGACCTGAAGCCAAAGCCCAAGGTGGTATTTCGCTTTCTCTTCTGCATCTCAAGTCTGCTGGCATCATCCTTCCCACTGGGAAACAGGAAAATTACGCTCAGATTTTCTGACATGTAAGAAGAAACTTTAACATTATCTGGAAGTTAATGAAGATCATATTGCGTCATTGATTCATTAGATCGGTCAACATTTGCTTCTGTTCTTTGTTTGCTGATTGCTAGTGAATATGTTTGTGATTATCTATGTGCTGTTTCTTTGTTTCTGGTCTTAGTCATAATTTGCAAACAAAGCTTTACCTTAATGAGACTAGGGGGCAAAGATCCATTTTCCTTTTCTTGTGCTAGAAAGTATGAGCTATCAAAAAATTACTAAGCTTCAATTAGTGTGCGCACAAAAATGAAATAAATATGAATCCTGTCCTCAAATAGCTTCTACCAACAGAAATTAGTCTGTCTGATTCCTAATCCACTCATGACTGATCTTGTTAAGGCCCTTAAACCACAGTTAACGTATCTTACAATATGACTCTTGACACATAAGGAAGGTTCTAGAATGAGGCAGCCACTCAGGATCTTCCCATGCCCTTCCCTATTTTCAATTCTGATTTATTCTCAGTGGATGTTCTAAGTGAGACCTCCTGATTCTACTATATCTGATATTATGCCCATGTATCCGCTACTGCATTTGGCACAATTTCTGATTTTGCACCTTCTGTGTCCTGCACATTTTCCGATATACTATTCAAAGTAGCTTTTCCCATTGTTTTCCTTCAGGACTCCTTGCCTTGGTATCTGTTCTCAAGGAAACTCGGCCCTCTGCCAACATAAAGAGCTAGAGTTTCAGAGTACTGGCTCATTTCCATATAAAAGGTCTTGCCAGCACTTAGGGCAATACCTAGGTGATAGGAGGCACTCATTAATGTTTGTTGAATGAACAAATGAGTGTAATTCAAGATATGTTACAACACAAGCCTCTTGTAACAGAAAAAGCTAATCTTTACCATTAGTACCTCGAGGAAATGAAACTGAGATATTGACAAGTGAATGAGTAGTATCTAAACATTAGTTCCTTTAGATCTGAAAAATCATAATTTGCCAGCATCTTACCAACCTATCTATATTAATAAGTGTTATTACTCTGTATGCTCCTCCTTTCCAAGATATACATGTTTTGCTAAACTATTACCCAAAGAAGTTATATTTCAAACACACAATAAGGCATTATCTAATAAACCTATTTGTGTTTTCCCAGCCCTAGTCTACTTGATGGGGAAATACAATGAAAATAAACAAAGTAAGGTCTCATCTGCAGGCACCTATAGTCTTGGAGATAAGACTAACACTCAAGAAGTAATTAGAGAACACATTGGTGGTAAAGAATAAACTGATCGATTGGGTGCTTTGAACGGTGTATTTCAGGAATTCAGAAAAGGGAAGGATCATCAATAGAGGCTCTATAGAAGTCAAGAGTTGAACTGAGTCTAGGATTGTTCTCTTGCCCCCAGTGCCATGTCCTGCAGATCGGACCCCATGACCTGGAAGGTCCTTCCTTTACATCAACTTTCCGATTTATCTCTGCCTTCTTTTCCCTTGGGTACCATCTCATTTCATGCATTTGAGCTCCTAGTAGAAGAGTTGGGACTGTAGTGAGTTGGGACAATTCCCTGGAGCCTGACTAGAGTCACAGGAGTCGTATTTGTGTTCTGGTTTTACCAAGAGAGTTGTGAGATTCTTGGAGACCCAGTTTCCTCTGCTTGCTATATTAAATGAGATAAATGTGAAAGCACTTCATGAAAAGTAAAGTTCTAAAGAAAGGTACACGATCATTCTTATCCTCCAAAACTGCACTGTGTGCCCCATCTACTCCTGTCTCCAAACAATACCACATACCACATGACAATTATTTTCCAAAAACAGCCCCTCAATCATGTGCTTCTTGGTGAGAAAGGCTTCATATTGCGACACAATCAGGCCCCAACTTCCCTGTTCAGCATTATGAACCACTGCTGTCCTGTGTGAGCCTTCTTCCTTCAGGCAGGCCGGCTGTACCAGGCACTCCTGTGTGCTTTGCAACTACTACCTCTTTTCCCTGCCTGAATATACCTTGAATGATCAGAAATCTACGTGTCCTTCAAGAATGGCCTGCTTAAATAAAGGAAAATTTCCCTAATTTCCAAACTCGGTGGTGATCTCATCCTACTCTTAATATTCATAACCTTATTTTATGAATCATTTTTTGTCGCACATTATATACTGCTCTACCTTCACTGGGAAATTAGAACTCCTGGGGGCCAGGAAATATTTCTTATACTTGGAATTCTCTGTTCTCGTTATAAAATGCTTTGCATATGGGAGCTTCATTCAACATATTAATAATACTGAGTGAATGAGTGCTTCTAAGATATAGAAAGATAAGAGAGAAGGGGGAAAGAAAAGCAGAATCCGTCGTTTTCAAGAGATATTCCCCACCAGGTCTTTGTGTGGCTTTCCGAGTTTAGAGGGAACTAGTACGTTAAGGGTTAAGATTAGTTTTACCAACAACTGCAGTTGTTTGTGGAGAAGCTCAAGGACATTATGAGATTAGCAGGAATAGGACTTTGAAGTCTATGCTAGTCTCTGGAATTCCCCAGTGCCCCTCCTCACCAGTCCCACCCCCACCCCTTCTTCAAAACCCCCACCCTTCTCCAATTTCCAGAGAGTGTTAAAACGTAACTGCAGAATGATGTAGCTAGATAATGCTGAGTGCTTTTGTATCAACTGAGATGCTTGCTGGACAATCTTTGGTTCACCTCATGCCACTCACCATTACCCAGTAAGACTTAAAGACTTTGCCTGTTACTTTGCGTGTCCCACGCACGTCTCAAAAGAAGGCAAAGTCCAAAGGCAGATTCAAGGACTGGCCTGGTGCTCTAATTGGCTCATGGGAGTATCCCTTATCTAAGGAAGTGATCCTTTTTGTCTCTGCTTTGCCTCAGAGTTAGATACACACTCATAAAGCTGTTCCCCATCAGCGAGGGGAAGTATTTTTTGAGGGGCTCTCAGTCCAGCTGCAATAAAGCTGGGGTTAAATCAAATCATCGTTCAGTGACAGCAACCAAGATGATTTAAATATTGAAACATCCAGGAGCCTAGTACTCCTTGCACATGAAGTGTGTGGTGCCAGGAACTTAAGAATGCTGATAGACTCACTCTCTGTGCATACTTATTATTCCCAATTCTCCTTGGCTAGGAAAGGATATGATAAAAATACTTCTGTCTTCTTAGCAGATAAACATGCCCATACACCTGGCAAGGTATAATTGAAGGAAGATCAGTTTACAAGGAAAATGCAAGATAATGAGAAATTTTCTTAAATCAAGGCTGAATCACTCTTTACATAGAAAAACCTCAAATAGAACTGTAACCTGAAGCTATTCGCATGTAAACGTGCTTAATGTGCGATAGAATCTGCACATAAAAAGAAACTTGACTCTGCAGGAAATAATAGAGACTTTTCAAATATGCAATGAAAATAAAAAAAAAATCACAAAAAGCAGAGAAAATCGGCTGCTGGTGCTCATTCTCTAGTACCTGCACATTCTTCTCCAACCTGGAGAAAATGCTAACTCCTTCATATAGAGGCCTGTAGAGAACAGAGCTGATACCGCCAGTGTTTCCTTTATTTGTTGGATGTTCCTTTGACTGACTTGCTCTTTCCTGGCTAGACAGAGCTTAATGGGTCTCCGGGAGACACTTAGAAACCTACCGCCTTTGCAATGCTTTGCCTAAACAATTGTCAACAGCAATACTTAATATCTTCATGATCCAATAAGGTGCTCTTAAAATAATTATTTAATATGGATTACTAATAATTCATATGCTTTGTCCATGCAACAATATTATAAGTTGCTTGGTGGTAAGAACATTTCTTATATTTCTCTTGTATGCTGCATAAGAAATAGCATAACTTGAAGGCATGTATGTACAAAGAAACCATGTTTTTCATATCCAGGAGTAAGTGAATGGAGAATTAATCTAGAATTAAAGGCCCCTGACATCATCCATTCCAGAATCAGTGCAATGTCTCATTAATATATTCAACACAAATATAACGAGACTTACATTGTTCCTGGCACCGTGTTGGGTTCTGGGAATTCAATGGCGAGTGAAATAGGGATAATTCTTGCCCTTATAGTGATAGAGACTCTTATCTTCCATGTTGATGTGATTGTAAATCATCAACCAAGGTCCCACAAAATTCGTGTTGTCTTCACCTAAAATGAGGAGGAAATAAGGGATGATAATAACCTTTCCACCCAAAATTGCAAGGCTTTTCATCTTCCAATTTAATTCAAGGTGCCAGATTACCATTTACACTACTCTTTAGCCAGCTTTGTGACTACAGTTGACCTTTGAACAATGCAGGGGTTAGGGGTACCAACCCACTGTGCAGTCAAATATCCATGTATACCTTTTGACTCCCCCAAAACTTAATTACTATTAGCCTACTGTTGGCCAGCATCCTTAAATAATTGATTAATACATATTTTCTATGTCATATGTATAGCATAGTCAATTAATACATACTTTGTACATTTATTATATGCTGTACTCTTACAGTATGGTAAGCTAGAGAAAAGAAAATGTTATTAATAAAATCATAAGGAAGAGAAAATGCTTTTATTCATTAAGTGGAAGTAGATCATTATACAGGTCTTCCTATTGAGTAAGCTGAGGAGGAGGAAGAGGAGGCACTGGTCTTGCTGTCTCAAGGGTGGTAGAAAGAGAAGAGGTGGAGGAGGTAGAAGGGAAAGCAGGAGATGTAGAAGAAAATCTGCGCATAAGTTGACCTGTGCAGTTCAAAGGTCACCTATGTTGTTGTTCAAGGGTTGTTCAAGGGTCACCTACGTATGACAAATCTTTACCCTTCTCGCCATACCTTTCATGATCTGTTGTTGAAGCAGATGGAGTGGATTGTCTTGGATGGTTTCTACATCCTGCAATTCAATGGATCTCAACTGAGCTGCACATTCAAATAAACTGGGATGATTTTAAATACATTGCAGATGCCCAGGTCTCGCCGACAGAGCTTCTGATTAATTGGCCCAGCTCAGGTTTGGGCATTTATATTTTATTTTTAACTTCCCAGGTCATTGGGATGTGAAGCCAGGATTGAGAACTATTGTCATAATTCCTACCTCTCCATGCTTACATTCTTAAATCTTGCTGAATAGGGAGTCAGTAACCTAAGAAGGAATAACATGTGCATGTGTGTTGCTGCTATAAACACTAACAGATTGCACTTAAGATTGCAAGCAGTCCAAGAAAATCAATATCTTGTTTTAAGTGAGCATGCACCATATTTTAAATATTGCAATTATATTAAGTTCCTTCAAAGAAGATGAATTATAAGTTCATTATTGGTATTTGGGAAATGTGTGGGGTGACCAGAGGTCTTAGAATTAAACAAACAAAGCCCTGCAAATTATTAATGTGCTCTTGAAGCTCCCTATTAAAAAGCTTTCCTATACCTTAGCTTTTTCACCTGTAAACTGAGGATCCTAAAGTGAAAACTCAAATATAGTGAATCCTCAATGTTCATGGATTCAGTAATTGTGAAGTTGCCCACTTGCCAACATTTATTTGTGACTCTAAAATCAATACTTGCACCACTTCTTTAGTCATTTGTGGATATGTACAAAGTAGGGAAAAATTTGAACTGCCTCATATACACATTTTCAGCTGAGGTCGAAGAAGGTGATTATTCTGTCATCTTGTTTTAGCCCTCAAACCATAAACAAGTGTCCTTTTCATAGTCTATGTAAAGGCCACTTTTTCACTTTTTTTTTTTTTTGCTTTTTATTGGTGATTTCACTGTTTTAAATGGCCCCTAAGCATAGGTGCTGACATGCTGTCCAATGTTCCTAAGTACGAGAAGGCTGTGATGTGCCTTACAGAGAAAACATGAGTGTTAGATAAGCCTTATTCAGTCATGAGTTATAGTGCCATTGGCTGTGAGTTCAATGTTAATGAATCAACAATATATATTAAATAAGGTGCTTTTAAACAGAAATGCACATAAAACAAGGTTATGCATTGATCTGTTGACAAAAATGTGACCAGAGGCTCACAGGAATCTAACCCTGTATTTCCCCTAGGAGCAATGGTTCAGTATTTGCTAATTCAGTGTTTGTGTTGACTTTATAAAACGTAACTGCCATGAAAAATAAAAATTGACTGTGTAAAGTATACAGCATGGTGCCGGGCACATAATTCTTGCTAGAAAATGTTGGTTTCTGTGCCCTTCTCATGCAGTATGAAGATTGTCACCTTAAAAATTATTTTTAAAGTAAATCCAGATATCAATGGACACCCTTACTCTACTCGTATTAAAAATCACATTATTTCCTCCTATGTAAGGATAATTGCATGACTGAGCCTCTGCTGTCTAGAATTGAGCCTTCTGGAATAGCCAGGCTTCCAGGAAAACCTTCAAACTCATAAATAGCTAGAAAAATAGCTATTTTGGAAACTCTTTAGCAGCAAAGCAGCAGCCTAGCACCAAATGGAGTTGATAAAAGCTGCATACTATATGAGGCCTCTGTGCTATATGGGTGGGAAGAGCCACTTGATGAGAAATATTGATACTAAGCCTGCCTTTTGGAAACAGCTACAAGACATGCAAAAACAAGGGACAATGATCAGCATGACGGCATCAATTAGAGGCAGAGACAGGAGTGAAACCAGTATGCACTCTGATGGTGGAAAATACTGAGTGGCAAGAAAGAGAGTAAAAAAGATAACAACTCCATGCTGTTGGGGGGCAGAGAATGCCCTGTGTGATGCCTATAACCCTGGAAGGCATCAGGCTACCATGCTGAAATTGTATCAAATGCCTGAGCTACCCTAAATACGCTACTCCTTACAACAGGATGTATGCAGTCTCTGCATTGGAGAAGCTGTACAGTTTGATTTGTCTTCCTCTAGTGAAAGACAAAAGGCAGAAACAAAAATATTATGCTAACATTTATAGGGAAAAAAAATGGGTGAGCACACACAAATGATAATGAGCCAACTGAGTAGTCAGTTCTTAACCCCTAATATCAAAATTAAGGAATATTTGTTGGTTCTGAGGACTTTAACACTTAGGATTTCTGTACAAAAAAACAATATGATTCCCCATATGTTTATGCTTTTATGTATTTTAGCAGACTTTTATGGTTTTCTTCAACTCATTCCTACATACTTAGCTTCTTCCTAGGTTTATAATATTATTAGTGTTGTCATGAACAGAATCTTTCCCACTTTAATTTTCAGCTAGGGCTTACAGGTATATAAGGAAGCTATTGAGTTTTGTGTTTCTTAATTTTCTTATTAAATTTATTTTAAAATTTAATTCAGAAAGATAGAGTATATTTAAAATAAAAAATTCATGTTCTCTTCCTTCTCAACCTTTATCCATTTTTTAAATGTAGGATCAAAATGTTTTGATCTAAACTTAGGCTAGAATTCGTAGATAAATTTAATTCATGTAGTGACAGAGGGACTCCATTTATTCATCCTGACTTTAATGTGGTGTCTGTAGTGTCTTCTTATGAGAATGACAGTGGTAGTTGGTCTGTGATAGAGATTTTTATTACACAAAGGAAGCATTATTATTCTTTATATAATATGTTAACTTTTAAGAAAATTAGTAAGATGTTAAATTTTATCCATATTTTTCAACATCTCTTAATATAATTTCATACATTTTTTATCCTTTTAACAGCAGATGTAACTGATTATATTAATAAATATACCAAATTATCATTGTTTCCAGGGATGGAGGTGGGAACCTACATAATTATAAAGTATTGTAGTATTTCTCAATTCTTAGATGCTATTACATATTGTTATAAAGAACATTTCAATAAGAAAAATTTATGACATAAGATACACATATATGGATTATAAAATGCTTCTCAATTTCAAAAACATTAAAATGTGAAAACAGTTATCATCTTCTGCCATCTACTATGACATTTTTCATAGCTATAGTTTATCACGTTGATCAAAATGGCCTATGTAATAGTAGCAATTTGTATTTTTTAAAAATGGTTAAATTATATTAAGCAAATTCTATCTTAGAAGGCACAGGAGAGTATCATTCAACTTCCCTAGATACACAAACACACATACACACAATAGTTTAGAAAATACAATGACAACAAAAAGCAGTTAGGAATAAGGATAACAAGATATCTCCATGATTTTTATGAAGAAAACTTTAAAACTCCATAGTGGAATAAAAAGGGCACACTTTATCCTTAAATAGGAGAGACCCATACTGTAAAGAGGTCAGTTTTCCAATTAATGAATTTGATGGAATCTAAATTAAAAAACCAATGGAATATTTTAAATTAGAAACAAATTCTAAATTTGTTATATAAAAATTAACATATAGAAATAGAACATTTCATAAAAATAGAAATAATAAGTGACATAAGACTTGGTTACTATGAAAATGTGTTTCTACATTAAACAATTTGGTACTAGTACAATATATAAAAGTAGGTCAGTAAAAGAGGGTAGAGAGTCTAGTGATAGTACCAAGTCTATTTGGAATGTTTAATATGTGATAAATGTAATGTTAAAATTAATGGATAAAGAGGAATTGATCAGCAAAGTTATATTAGGAAAATTGGGCTGCCATCTGCAATAAATAAATGAATAAAGCTATATTTGTTATTAAATACAAGTAGATCTATGAATCAAATGTTAAAAAGGTAAAAATATTAGAAGAATATATGGTATCATAATATTTATGTTTTTATTTTTGTTGTTTACAAATTTGGGTGGAAAAGATCTTTGTAAACAAGAAAATGATGATTGATAAATTTGATCACTAAAATAAAATGATTTTACATGACAAAATATTTTTAAAAGAACAAATAAGAGGTTTATGTTTGTAGCCCATTACAAATAACTGATTTCATTTACATATAAACAATTAATAAAATTCAATAAAGGAATAAAGGAAAGGGAAAAGACCGTGAATACACAGGTCACAGAAAAAGATATGCAAATGGCTTATAAATATATGAAAGATGCTTAACTTCACAATTAAAAATGTATAAATTAAAATAACAATAAAATTTTTACCTCAAAATTAAAAAAGTTTGAGTATATATGTTGGTAAGGATATTTGGAAACAGATACTCTTATTTTAATTTGATATACTTTCTTTGAAGGGTAACTCGGTGATACATATTAACATTTGAAGTTCATAAACTGA